TATATATGATTTATTTCAAAATGCATTCCTCAATCATATTCAATTATAACAGCATTTCATTGCACTTCTAAATACGTTTAACTGCAAGTATACTTGTATTACTTACATATTTATTTGTATTGTGTCACATGCCTAAAAATAAGTGTTAGAAAGTAATTAAATAGAAAAATATTTTAAAAAGAAGTCAAAATATAGCTTTAATTTATTCAAGTTTATTATGTAAAAGAATGACAATGACATATTTGTTGACACAATAAAAAAAAAGACTCAAAACATTCAGTTGGTTTATAGTTACCCTTACACTTTGTTTATAAAACCGAATGATTTTTGTTCTTTAAGAAACATTTTCCCCTGAAAAGGAACCTAAATCTTTCATAAATGTTCTTGGTGGAGTTAAATATAAATATTCAATCAAACATCCATCACTGTTACTGTACATCACAAAACCATCTTCTTCCTAAACTTTCTGAAAAAAAATCACCTTTAACTGTAAGCCGGTATGACAAAAAGCTTTGACAGCATAGTGTTGTATCAATAATTTTGTACAATGCTCAACAATCACAGTGACTGAACCTTTAAGTCACTTAGCAGAAGGTACAGAAAATATCATGATCAATATCATCTTAAAAAGAACTAAACAAAAGCATATCTTGGTACAGATTAGTCCACTGATCATGATTGTAGAACTACACACCCTGTAATGGAATCTCACTTTGAGACATAAACTACAGCATCCACGTTCGGTCTTGAAACAGGAACAACCCACTGTCAAAATACTCTTTTACATCAAACGTTTGTCTAAATGATGCTAGCAGACATCAACCATGAAATCAAAACAGCAACATTTCTTTGTTAATCTATTAAATCTGTTTTCCCAACTAACACAACTACATTAGCCTCGTTGACCCAGGACCTGCTTCAGAGACTGGATTCTAATTTAATAACATCAGCTTTGAAAAACTCATTGTTTGTTTAGATCGAAATATGTCATTTTGCAACTGCTTTCCAAAACTGCTTTTACTTGATAAACAACATTTGCATTTGCAAACTATATAGCATAATTTCATGGTTAAGTCTTCCGACAAATCTGTCTTTCAGATTGACATAAATGTGCTTTCTTTTAGGATGTAACTGTCTTGATCTTTAGTTGTTTTCAGTAAACAGTTTGGTAAAAAATGACTTGAGTATGGATTAGGTATAATATTCAAATCTGTTGTGATGAAGTTCAGCAAAATAAAAAAAATATACGGAATTAGAGACCAGCTATAAGAAAATCCCCTGATATCAGTGCTCCTACCTCTGGACAGAAAACATTCTAATGACAGTTTAAGAGCTTTCAGTACTATCCATTGTAAACAGCAGAGATTTTCTTTTTCTGACAACCACAGATGAGTAAAAAAAAAACAGTAATACCCCCCCAAAAAAAAACAACAAAACAATAACATAACATCTAAAAACTAAGGCAATACCAGCCTTACAGTCAACACTTTAAACGGTGAACTTTAGATTCAAAAAGCCACAGTCTCCAGTGCCAAAGGGCCCATTACTTATGCACAGTTAAATATCAAGACAGATATTTTTATATCTTTTCAATGCAAGTGATTTGATTGCATTATTCACCAGCTTAAGTGCTCTGATAACACTGCAAGAAAAATCAGCTTCTACAGCCACGAGATTTCATAAATCTTCAACTTTATGCGGCGGACAAATCGGTTAAGCTTTTTTTCGAGCATCTGTTCTGAAACTTCGTTCGACAACAAAAGCCTGCACACAGAGCTAAAAAAAATTTAAAAAAAGAATGGACCATTTTTCAGCGGAGCGCTTTCTTTTTCAAATCCACAGGCTTGAGCTACAGAAGCTGGAAGCTTTGCGAATCAGACTGAGCTCACGATGATTCAAATGATGTTGTGCTTGTCCAAATGTCGCACCACGCAGTTGCCAAGCAGCATGCAAAAACCAACCATGTCTCCGACTCCTCTCCGGCGAGCGGCGTGTGAGGTTGTGCTGCAGGGATGTAAATGCAACGCAGTCTCATTCAAATGTTCTCGTGTATTCCTACTAAACACAGAGTTTCCCTCACACAGACATAAACCTTTTAGAAGAAAATTATTGTAACATTCAGTTTACAACCCTTTTTTTTTTTTAAACACAGGGAGGCATCTCAGTGGTTCGACAGTCACTTATTGTTTTAGAAACATTATAGACGTTAAGCAGCATGTAGGAGTGGTGACATAGGAAACCTACGGAAAGTTAAGATAATACTAAATAAATTTGATGTTTTGTCCGAACGAGGACTCAGAATAACAGTAGTTATCACTGTCTGTTGAGGAGTGAGCTTCAACAGGTATTTAGAAAATGAAGAGAATATTCATTTCCACTGGCTCACAAAACGCAAAAGATTTCATCTCTTAAAAGAATACAAAAAACACGACAAAGATGGATGAACGGACAGGACAAGCCTCTCAGTTCATTTGAATAAGAATGAGGCTTGTGTTCAAAGTACGCTGATGAAAGCCTCATTTCCAGGCTGAGATGTTGGCTCATTGAGCCATTCTACATGCATATTGTCACAGTTTTATTACACGGTATAATCTCAGACGTCCACGTCGGGCTTTTCTCAAGCGTTCTGTTTGAAGTGCATGTTCCTGACTGGTGATTCCTTAGTTTGGGTCCAAACAAGTAGTAACGTCACCCCAACTAAGATCGTCTTGTGTGGTCCAGTGATAATAAAAGATTTGTCTTTGAATGCCTTTTGTGCAGCAAAAAAACAAAACAAAACACAAACTCCTGAAGCTGCGTATTAAAGGTGCATGATTTGAGTTCCACCAGTACCTCAAACGGTCAGAAATAAGAAAGTCACTTGAGCTTTTCTACTTCATGCTTTGCTAAAAATGGCCCACAGACAAATCAAATCAAATAGTCCAGTTGTTGAGGATACTTGTGCAGAACACCAAGGTGATAATACAAACTCTGAGAGGTGTTTGTGATGCACTGAGGTCCCCAGCAAAAAAAAAAAAAAAAAACAGGAGAGCCTCAGTAAGAAGAGGTCCATCCGAGTCCACTCCATAGAGAGCAAACCACACATCCTGTTTTAGACACAGCCAACGTGTTGGTGATCTCCATCAGATCCTTTCAGATTGTCAGACAGAAAACTCAGAGCCTCCGCGGCGACTGTGGCTCAGCAGCAACAAGCGCCGCAGACGCAAGCCTGTGAAGGGATTACACCACAGTAGAGACGGCGAACCCCCAAACACGGCTTTCATTCCGTCCCATCTCATGTGACGCTCCCACGTTGGCTTCTCGTTTTTTAGACGCTCGATCTCCTGCAAGATATTTAAAGTCAGTTTGATAAGAAAAAAACAAAAAAACAAAACGGTGACTTGGTTACAAATGACCTAAAACTTGCAGTAACATAGGGGGAGTTTCTTCTCTGTGTGGGTGGAGTTTGCCCTAACTATGATCAGTCAGGTTGACTTGTCTTGTGGGGCAAGTTAAAAGATGAAGTTGTAGTTGTAGTAAAATTTTTGGGAACATCTAAACACAATTCATTGACTTCAATTTTTTTTACAAATAATATTTATTACTCATATTCAAAAATGCTAGTAAAGTTTAGTAAGATAGTAAAGTTACTAATCTTTTTCCAGGTGGGTTAGGGCTGTTTTGACCGAGCTCAATTGTTACACATAATTCCACGTGCAAGGTGTTTAAATTTTGCGTGGCTGGCGCCTTACTAGCTGCGTTTCCATTGCAAATGTGCGCAAAACTTTGTCGATATTCTGTTAATGTCGAAAAAACACAGTTTCGCAACTGCAGTGTTTCCATTAAGTAAGAAATGCTATTAAAGTCACGCGTGAATGCGCTTGTTCTCACGATAACTCATTACAAACATGGCGGCGATGGATGTAAATACATACAGTAGCATGTTGCTACCACGACACTAGCGCTCATCATCAGAGAAGACGTCGGCGTCTTTTATCGAGGCTTTCCAGAGACAAGTCCCTACTTGGTAGCGGCTACGTTAGCTGTGTTTTTGGGAAATTGTAGTCGGTGAGTTTACTATTTTATACTACTTCTATGATATTACTACTACTTCTACTTCCTGTTATCATCTTCATCATCGTCTTTTTCGCCAGTAGAAACAGCCGGTTGTTGATCATGTGACTCTCATGATGCGAAAAAAGTGTTTCCATTGCAGTTTTGCGAAAAACACCAATTTCGATACGGCCAAAATACCACCTCATCCTAGCGCAAAAACATTCTGTCGAAAAACGTGATTTTTTTTCGAAATTGACGTGTTTCCATTGAGCAAATTTATTTTTGAAATTCTAATTTTGAGCATTTTCATGGTCAATGGAAACACAGCTCTTACTGTCTTGAGTGAGGGAAAACAAGGATTATGAGATGCGGGGGGCGGGGGGGTACTCACCGTCTCATCATTGCAAATGGAGTGAATCTGTGTGCCAAACATTACAGCCGTGAAAGTGAGGAAGAGGATGGCTTCGAGACAGAGGAAGATGAGGAGCAGCACAGACACCCCTGGAGAGAAGTCACTGCACTCTGAATACAGAGGAAAGAAAAAAAGACCAGTTGACTGTTAAATACACTAAACAAACCTTATAATAATAATAATAATAATAATAATAATAATAATAAT